TTTCAATCTTTAACGACTACTATGAAGCTTGCGAATGATTATTTGAAAAATACCTCACCAGAATTGTGGAGTCTCAATGGCTTTGTCGATTGGTGTAACTCATGTAATCTACTTAAGGGAGACAAAGTGAAAATATTGGATCATATAAAAAAAGGACTTGAGAAAGTCAAGAATAATGCACTCATTCAAGAAGATACGCAACAGAAGGCAACTAAATTGTGTGAATCAATATTGACTTATTTAAACTATCTCTTCAATGTATCAATATGTCATTCAAATTTATTAATATACTTACCAACCTTTTATTAAACTATTATATAAGATTATAACTAATCTCAAACTCACCAATTTCTATACAGTTGAAAATAGCATTGATCAAAGAGAAACTATTAACCCACTCTTTTGAAGAATTTATTATGATTCTTTTATTTATAAAATCTTCTTACAATTTACAGGATATATATTATCTACCTTATAGTTAATTAGTTTATAACTACAAACCAGCCAACATCTCCAAACTTCAATTTCTGTATTGATTTATATAGCAATACACTATAGATACGTAGCTTAATCTAAAGAACAATAACTCAAATCACCACAATGGTCTCATCCTTCTACCAAATACAAAAATATAAATTAACCTAACAAAATCTATATTAACTACCAACTCTAAACTCTTTTCTAACTCTTTTATTAATTTAGCAATCTATCCTATTTCAACTAATCAACCTTTCAAATTTCTTGAATGTTGGTTTACTCTTAACAATAAACAATCAGAACAAATTAAACTTATTCAAAATAAAACTTTTTAACTGATCTACATTACTGGTACAAAGAAAATTACAGACAAACAGATCACATATATCATTAATATTATTATTATCTCTATACTAGAATATAAAATCTACAATATAGTACTTTTATATAGAGTTGTTATGTAGATGTTTTTAGACACCTTTAGACATTTTTTTAAATTAATATTATTCAAAATTTTATTAATATAATCTATTTTAATTGTTTCATAAATGAATCTAGCACCTAAAAAATTATATAATTATATATATTTTTTAACTTATTTTATTGATTATTTAAACTTTGAACATAGGCTTGGACAATTTTGAACAATCTTGGATATTGGATATTTTATTTAGTGTAGACACATTCAATATACAACACTGCTTTTATATACTATATACAAAAATATTCTATCTAAATACTTTATTATAGTTAATCACAAATCTCATTTTGCAAAATCAATTCCTAACAGTACTATACTCAATTCATATCTATACAACATTCAAAATATCTAAGATATTCAATTACAACATCATATAACCAATTTACTTTAATAAATTAACAACTCTCACCTTCTAGGAACTACTATTTATATTAGATTATAGCATCTACAAAATAACTTGTGGTTAACAATTAATATACTTCAATACCCATAACTTATAATAGATGGTCCAAACAGACATATACTTAATTTTAAAATTA